CTAATGAAACTTAAGAGTCTGATTTTTTATTTAAATAAAACCTTTCAGAGTCTATGGTTAATTTAAAGTAATACCAATGATTATTTCAGGAATTACATATAACCCATTTTAGCAACTAAAAGCAGATGTACACTGCTGGCTAATGGGAAATGTTTCCTTGTTCCTGTCACAGGAGATGCTCTCCCTTATTATTTTCTGTGGATGTTGTCATGTCTGTTTGTAATGTCTGGAAGCCTGCCAGCCATCATGGTGCCAGCCAACAGTGGGGAGTGCAGAGTGGAAAATGAAAGAGAAACTGAGCCTCTGAAAATTTAATTTTGCTGATGAATCAAAAATATCTGGAGCCCACTGTCCCTCTGAAAGCATGTTATATCATTCAATATACTTCCTCATTGTTCTAGCCAGTGTGTGTTTTTTTTTGTTTTTTTTTTTTTGAGACAGAGTCTCGCTCTGTCACCAGGCTGGTGTGCAGGGCACTATCTCAGCTCACTGCAAGCTCTGCCTCCCGGGTTCACGCCATTCTCCTGCCTCAGCCTCCCGAGTAGCTGCGACTAAAGGCATACATTACGCCTGTTTTTTTTTTTTGTATTTGTAGTAGAGATGGGGTTTCACCGTGTTAGCCAGGATGGTCTTGAACTCCTGACCTCATGATCTGCCTGCCTCGGCCCCCCAAAGTGCTGGGATTATAGGCATGAGCCACCACGCCCGGCCCCAGTGTGGTATTTTAATTTCTACTGAGTGTATCCTAACTGAATCAAACATCTAAGGGTCATGGTTCATACTGGGAACTGGAGATGCAAAGATAAAGCTGATTCCATCACAGCCATCAAAACCAGCTCACTGTCTGGTGGGGAATACACACACACACACACACACACACACACACAGAGAATGTCATGGCCTAGGTGTTAACTGTTGTCCTCCAAACTGAACAGAGGCTCTGTAAAAAACAGACACATCAAATGTATCCAATGCCTGGAGCAAGGAGCAAAGACAAATTGCAAGAATATACAAATAGGCAACAATCAGAAAACGGAAAATTAAACGACAATTATCAGCAATCAAATGCCACTCTATTACCTGTGAGAGTAATGAAAATATTCTTTAAACTGATGATGTCAAGTATTAATCAAAGATGTGGAGAAAGCAGAACATTGATATACTGCTAGTGAGAGTATAAGTCGGTTCATTTGTTTGGAAAACTGTTTAGAAGAACTTAAACTTACTAAAAAGTTGAACAGATATGTATCCATGACCACACCCCAGCAATTCCACTCCCCGTGTATACAGAAAGAAATGTGTACACGTGTGCTCCAAAAGACATGTACAAGTATGAACATAACAGCCCTATAAGGAAGTTCTGACTTCCCAACACATTATTCTTAAGAACACATAATGAAGGATTTTCAACAAGGGGCCATGTTGGGATGCTTCTTTTATGTGGATCTTGGCTAGTACTACATGGCTATGAAGGCTCCTTAAAGGAACTGTGCTGAACACTCAATAAATCTGTTATGTCTGAAGTAGGAATTAAAAGACAAGAAAAAATGCAACAGATGGAACTAGAAAAGTAGTCAAGGATCAAACAAAATAACCTAACAGGATCATACAATATTAAAGAACAGGCTACTGCAATACCAAAACAAACAAAAATACAATAACAAAGAAAACTACTATATAATGTCACTCATGAGATGCAAAAATACTAAATAAAATGGCAAAATGAAATCAAGCAATGCATCAGAAGGATACCGTGACTAACTGGAATATCCAGGAAAGGGGAAAAAGTCAGTGAATCTGTCAGAATAAATCATCACATTAACAAATTAAATACCATACAACTGTAGAAAGAGATAGTGAAATGGCATTTAATTAAACTCAGGAGTCACCCCTACTTAGCTACAACAAAGATGTTCACTTGTAACTGAGAGCATGATGCTGCTATTCCATCACAGCTAACAACCAGACATGGTGAGTGAAATTATCTTTTGGTTATAGCAGCATTTCCCAATGCAATTTCACCCACCTACAAAGATAATAGGTCATGGGAATCAGTATTTCAACAGTGAAGTTTGTCATACACCAGTTTAAACAAAGTTCAACCATTTTCTTCACTGGAATAGTCTCTTTTTTTCTCTTCTCTTTAGTCTTTTGATAAGCTGGTGAAGTGCTTTTGCTTGTTCCTTAAGAGGGGTTTTAGTAGATGCTACTTTATAAGCTTCTTTAGCTTCTTTAACTATAAAATCCTCCTTCATTTTCAAGACTAGTAAGCACTGGTGATTCCTTGAGATATAATTTCAGAAATGTTGGGATAAGGCACCGTGTCTACATTTCTTGGTTAACAGGCAAATGTGGCACCCAGAGGGAGTGGCATAGTAGCCAATTACCAATAATATATCCTGTTAAAACTCCCAAAGTACTCTGCTTTGTGTTACAGTTGATTATTAAAAGTGCAATTGTTGGCTTTTTATGCCTTTGAAAAAGTGCAATCATGTAGAATGATGATCACTAGAGGGTGAATGACTGATTGAAGAGTGATATTACGAATTCCCTATGTGCACAAAATAGAGAGGTCAGGTGTAGACTTATGACAATGAACCACAGACATTTAGTTATCAATGCATTAGTTCTGATGGAACTAACATTTTTTAAAAGACATAATTTTTAAAAGGGTCGATTTCTAACTGTGTGAGTATATAAACACACACTCTATTTCATCGTAACTAACCTGCCTTGATGCTAACACTAAATCAGGACAGCCACCTGGTTGAAAGTGGTTACAAGAAGCCATCAATTTTAAGACGCACTGTGATTTCCAAATAGTAAAATACAGCCAGGCGCAGTGTCTCACACCTGTAATCCCAACGGCTGAGGCAGGTGGATTGCTTAAGACCAGGAGTTCAAGATCAGCCTGGACCAACATGGCAAAACCCCATCTCTACTAAAAATATAATTAGCACACAGGTGCACACCTGTGGATCCAGTTACTTGGGAGGCTGAGGCACAAGAATCACTTGAACCCAAGAGGTGGAGGTTGCAGTGAGCCAAAATCACATCACCGCACTCCAGCCTTGGCGACAGAGAGAGAGAGATCCTGTCTCAAAAAAAAAAAAAAAAAAGTAAAATACATACCATATGATCACACATTTCCAAAGATCATTGATCAAGGTTGACCAATCCTATTAGGTATATAATAGATCTTTACAACGGACAACTCTAGTAGTTATCGTAAGTGATCAAACTTGGCACTGGTGCTAGTGGGGGAAATGGATCCTATCTGCTTCTGATGTACTGCAAGATGAAGTACACATCACCATCTATGAAGTGTTCTGGTAAAAAATGCTTAAGCCTCTATTTCCAACGTCATGTTATGAGAAATGTGAAGAAGAGGCCCATATCAAATTTCACCATGAGGAAAGAAACTAATGTGTGACATTCTATAAAACAGCTTTCCTAAACTCTTCAAAAGTCTGGGTTTTGTCACGTCTCAATTTTTAGCTCAGCTTAAGGGATAAACTCTAAATTAAAATCCCCTCAAATTCTTTATACTGTACTAGATCTTACCCAGAATGAACTATCTGAAATTCAAATGGATGAGTGGTTATAGGAAGCTTTTCTGAATTCATTCCTCCAAATGTTGTGCTTCTCCTAAGAATTCACCAGTAGTAATAATAATAAAGACAATATGAACAATAGCTAATATGTTTTGAGCATAGGCTACATACCAGATACTCTTCCAAGTATACGATGCATACTAAATCCATCTAATCTCTATCACAGCATTATTAGTTACCATCAGCATTTTTTTTTTTTTTTTTTTTTTTTTTT